GTGACATGGGGCTGGTAGGAGAACTCAACTGCCTGTGGCAGCAACAGGATGGCAGATACATCAGTGCTTGCTTTTAACAGGCTGCCCAGGCGTGAGATGAACATTATTTCTAATTATATTTTCTAGGAGAAGGGAACACTAAGGTCAGAAAGCAGCTTCCACCACTCAAGCTGAGTCCTCTTCCTAGTTTGTACATTGAATATGGTGCACATCCATAGTCACCTGGAAGGTGTGCAAGCCTGTGGGCCTGAAGACAAACACTAAAATCCACCTGAGGAGCACTCAGTAATCTCCAGTCTGCATTTCAGAGTGACTGTCACACTGCTTCTTCCATTAGTGTTTATAGTCCTCTACAAATCTGCCTTTCCCCACAAACCAGAATATTGTTTCTCAAAAAGGCTGATAAATGGGACAGGTGGAAGTAGAGTATCCTGAGCTGAATGGAAGGTACTTGAAAAATAAGTGTCATATATATGGCCAAGAGGTAATGGCTGGGATGCAGAGGATCATCAAGTCAGGAGAAACCTATGGCCTTTTTTATGCATAAAGTAACATTATCAAATAATTCACAACTTCTTCTGACTTTACAATCTATGAATAATGTATGCAGCTCTTTCAAGGTCTGGTTTTCCACTTTCTCATAAGTTTACTCTCCACAGCTGTTACTGCATCAGAACAAGACACAAGTGCAGCCTTTGCCTTGTTACACACACAGCTCCTGTTGCTGGCTTCCTCCCACAGGCCTCTTCAGGAAAGGGGATAACTATTTCTTCCCTATTTTATATTAGCCACCTAAGAGAGAAAAGCCAAATGACTTGGCCTTGCCTGTAAAGTGATTCCATCACACGGTGAGTATAAGAGCAAGAGCACAAGGAGCTAAGTTGGACTGGCATAATTTCATTTTGGATTACTTCTAAGCAGCTGGTTATCCCAGGATCTATTTATATTCATTGGAGAGATAAAGTCACTTTTCAACAGTGGTTCACTAGACATATTTTAAATGAATATTTTTGGACAAAGAGTGCTTGGGATTGAACCAGTTGGCCACACATCATCCAGTGACCTTCAGGTTATCCAGGGCATCCCATCTGAGATTCACCTGAATGAGAGTGGCTGTGTCTACTAAGGTTCTTTGACATTATATTATATGAAAGCTGAAAAAATGTTTTGAGGCACCAACATTTTGTCTCTATTAAGATTTCTCTGAGAGATCTTTAAGACTTGGATAGGATAACCCCTAAAATGCAGAGCTTAGCAAGAAAAAAGTTACAAGGCAAAAGATTTAAATATGGTCACACCAAAATATTTACTTTTGGTTTTGCCTATTAGAAACAAATTTCAGTGTGTTCACTTTTAATGATTTCTTTAAAACAAACAACAGCTTCATTTCAGAAAGACACTTGGCTCATTAGGACCTTTTAGTAATGCTCAAAGAGGTCTAATCTGAAGATCAATTTTAAATCCATAACCAGATGGGATTTTAATTGTCTGTTTGTCCCCTCTGGGCCCAAGATCAGTTTGTTGGGATGAAGGGTTGAGTTCGTTCAGTACAGAAGACACAATCTGGGAATCAAGCAGGGAAGAAGGAACAGGCTGCTGCATACAGCCTGCAAAAGCTGAAGGCTTAGAAATGAAAATGGAGCTATTTTCTGAGCTGGAGAGAATCCATGCAGTTCTAGTGACTACCAGATTTACAAGCAAAGAAGATGAAGCCTCTGGTGTTTATTCCTTATATATATATAACAGCATTTAAAAGGAAGAAAGATCTTACTACTGCAAAGTGAGTTTTCCTAAAAAAGAACCTCAGTGCTGTACTGAGGAAAGTACACAACCATTTGTCAAGGACTTTCTTGTTATTATTGGAGCTCTATGTCAACAGATTAATTTCTCTCAGAGCTGGACAGCTCTAACAAAACCCACACATCTGTTCCATAAATGGAGACCAAGGAAGGGACATTTAAGAGAAGTAATGATGACAGGCAGGGCATCCTTTTTATTTTTCTTTAAGCTCCCTTTATATTTCCTTTCATTTCTGTTTATACATGTTTTCTGCTTCATAATGGAAAACAGAACTAAGGATTTTCCCCTGGATATTTATTGATAGATAAAATGAACCCAAAGGTGGGGTCTGAAGACAGAATAAAATGGATTATTTCTTCTCTACATTTTATTTATGATATGCTAAGAATATATTGCTGGAATAAGACCCTCTCCAACTACAGATTGGAAAGAAGGAGTTTTTGTATCTTGCCAGGGCTTTGGAAGTTTAGTCTTTCCATTTCTAAACTGAGATGAAAATTCAGAGCCCCAAAATGGAGTTATAAGCCAGTGATCCAAAAAGCATTTGGACCATCTGTTTTGGCATGGATCAATTATAACCTGAACATACAAACCTAGAAACTCTTTTGAACCAAATTGTTCACAAATTTTTTTCTTTCATAAAAACCAAACTCCATTTGACAGGAAATTTATTTCCCTTAGTGAGACAAAGTAGCCAAAATGCACAAAGAGGGAACCTTGACTCTGAAGTCTTCTTAGCAGTTTTCCTTAAGCCCAGGAGTTTAAACAGGAACTCATTAAGCTCTTCTCTTTCTGTTTTGAGAATTTAATCAGCAACTAGCATTTATTTTGTTCATTTTTTGCTGGGCTTTGCATTTAAGCTTGTACTTCTGTACTTCCTAGAATGTTTGTTCCTTTTCCATCCCAGGAATTGTAAAAATTATTCTACTTAGACTTTGTATTTTTATGCAATGTGGTAAAATCCACCTCAGGATTAAGTAACCCAAATTGGGATCAGAACAGTCATTTCAGCTGGAGTGTTAAATGCTGTCATCCTGACCTCGAATAGTCTGGCAGTTTATTAATGCCTCATTTTAATTGTTCTACC